CCCTCCCCTCCCGCGCTAGCCTAAGGGCCACCTTAGCAAAGCGCATCCCAGGCTGCATAGCCGCACTACCCTACCCAACCATACCACACATAAACATGACACTACCCCCGGGGTTTACACAGACGAGCCGGCGAAGCAAGAAGAGCGCCAGAAGAAAGGGCCCTAGCCGGCGGGGCCCAGCCAGGAGCGGTCGGGGTACCACAAAGCGCCTACACCGGCCGCATTTGCGGTCGGGGTAGACGACGGATGGGGCCCACCTACGAAGGCTGTCCAGGCCTACACGAGATGAGGCAGGCCAATTTCTAGCCATAGAATAATGGCGCGAGGTGTATATAGATTATAGAGTTCAGTGAAATTAATAGGATTTATAACCTCATTTTTTTACACAACTTAATGCTTTTTAGAAAAATGAATATATTGTCACGTAAAATTAAAACTGCGGTTTTTATTGGTAAAATTAGTATCAAATAGTTAAGTCAGGATTAAAATGTTATTTTACAGGATACAGGAATATACCTATTTTAAGGAAGTGTAGTAATAATGTTCCAGATTTCGATATGGAAAATCCGTTTCAAAAAGAAAAGCAGCAGTGTGTTTTATGTAAATATAAAATTCATGTGGATTATAAAAATGTAAGACTACTTTCACAGTTTCAATCTCCATACACAGGACGCATATATAGTAGACATATTACTCGTTTGTGCAAGAAACAACAAGAATTAGTTGAGAAGGAGATTATTAAAGCCCAAAATGCTGCATTAATGCCTACTTATTTCAAAGATCCAAAGTTTTTGAAAGATCCATTGTTATTCGACAATGATAAACCTTTAAGACCACATCGATTTTAATTATAAGGTATAAAGTACAATAAAGAAGTTAGTATATTAATATTTATTATTTCATTTATCAACAAACAAGTTAATAAATTAATAATAACAATCGATTGAAACTTAATTCATATTTTCACACTAATTATAATGTAAACAGATTAATAATTTCTACATATGTCTAAACATAAAAAAAAAAACTTGAACAAGAAATTGTTCTATCAACTACATTAGTATTTTATCTAAACATACTACTGAACTAATTTAATAATTTTGTGCATTGTAGAGTTGATATCACATAAGTGTGCAACGCTATTAAAATTTTTACTCATTTTAACTTGAAAGTCAACATTATATATATGAAAAAATAATACAAAAACAAAATATAAAATGTTGGCTACAAGTCCAGCACACACAGATTCAGTGATTAGTCCATGAGCTGGGTAGATCAATTAATATATTCCAATAATTTTTAACGATATTGATCAAAATATTCAATTTTCTAAATATTCAGAATTCATAAAATATGTTCTACATTAATAGATTTTAGGAAAGCATACAGTAGTGAAGGTTTGCAAAAATGAAAGTGGTCAAATTTTAATGATGTGGAGTGTAGAGCCCATATCATTTTTAAGGAATGATTTCAATGTCCACAGAGAATTTCCATGATGAAAAAATTTCAAATGAAACACGAAAGAAAAGATTAAAATAGGGTTGACTGACCGTGAGGTCTTAAAAAGGGTTACTCTTTAATTTGCAAAATATTTTTTGTTGTAATCGATAGAGACAAACAGGTGTTTTCTTATTTTTCACCAAATTTTAATTGTTCTTAAGGTTACAGCATATACAATATACATATACTATACATATAGATTTAATAGTATGTTCTTTATGTAGATACCATTAATAATTTTTTACAATAGCTTGGAATTTCATATTTATTTGTGATGTAAAATTATAACCGTATAGGTATATATTATTAATGTTGTAGGTATAAGTCAGTAGTATCTATCGATTAAGCAGATATATTTTAAAAATTGTAGAATTTTCCAATGTCTTAAATGACATTAAGACAAATAAACTTGAAAATGTTTCTCTTTTCCTTGATAAATTTAAGTATGATATCCTATGTGTGTGAACATTGGCTAAATCAACACAATATTATAAAAGTTAACATACCTGAATATAATTTGGGTTCGTTTTATTGTAGGCATGAAACTATTCACGGTGGCACTTGTATCTTTTTGAGAAATAATATTTTATATAAATCTGAATTTAGACGATTTTAACATTGAGATAAATTTTGAATTTTGTGGAATAGAATTAATATCTAGTAAAATTTTGATTTTTAGTTTTTATCATATGGGTAAGGGCATTTTTGAAATTTTTCTGGCAAAACTGGAATTGCTTTTAAGTAAATATGCATTAAATGACAAAAATATAATTATTATGGGTGACTTTAATATTGATTTTAATAATAGCTCGGATAACTTAGCAGAGTGTTTGATTTCTGCATTTGGTTTGAGATTTTTAATTTCTGACTACACAAGAATTACGCCTACATCTAGGACGTGCATTGATAATATTATTACCAATTTAAATAATGATGGTACTATAGCTGGGATATGCGACCCTTGTCTTTCCGATCACTTAGGTCAATTTATAACTCAATAACAAATTGGAAACACCTCCAAATTATACAATGAAAAAAAGGATAATCACCGAGGCTGGTTTGAGAGATTTTAGAATATCTTTGATGGAGAAAGATGAGTATCTTTGAAGATCCCTCGAAACAGGTAAACTTTTTGGCTAATTATTTGGTTCATACTTACAATACTCTAATAGATTATCATTTTCCTTTATGTAAAGTGAACGACAATTTCTGCAAGTCAGCAGTAACTTGGTTTAATGATACTCTAAGGAGTACGAGAGACACTATTATGCCTGTTAAACTTGTTTGTAACATTTCAAAAAATCCAGCTGATTGGTTAATTTATAAAAATTTTAATAGAAATTATAAAAAGCTTATTTTAAATACTAAAAAAAAGCGTATAGTGAATTTATCAGTACATCAACAAATATAAATAGAGACGGAGGTTTGTAAATTTTGAAAGAAATAAGCATTATAATTTAAATAAGCCCAAAAGCAGTTTATCTCCTGATGATTATAATAAATATTTTTGTGATATTGCCGAATCTCTAATTAACTCTATTGTAAGTAAAGAAGATGCCGAAGTTTTTCTTAAGGGTACTCTTGCATCTAAAAATAGTTTTTATTTACATCCCGTTAATCCCCTTGAAGTAAATGAGGCTATTAATTAATATGTTAAATAATTCTCACGGTCTGGTTGTATTTGACATAAACAGTAAAATTGTAAAAACTACAGCTGATATATTATTGCAGCCACTTACATCATTAATTAATATATGTTTTTGTACGGGCACTTTTCCTGACATTTTTAAAATTGCACGAGTGGTGCTTTTGTTTAAAGAAGGTGACTGTAATAAAGTGGATAATTATCGTCCCATCTCTATCATTCCCGTTTTTGGAAAAATTTTAGAAATTATTCTAAAGCAAAGACTTACTAGTTTTTTTGAAAGTAATCTTTTGTTAAATGCATATCAATTTGGTTTTAGAAGTAGCCTTTCTACTACCCATGCTCTCTAAACTAACGAAATTTGTTGTTGAAGGACTTGAGGAAAGATTACATTGTGCTATTACAGCTTGTGATCTAACCAAGGCATTCGACTGTTTCACACGATATAATTAAAAAATTGGAATATTATGAGGTAAGGGGCCTACCAGCTCTGTTACTGAAATCATATTTAAATAATCGTAAACAATTTGTTTCAATTAATGATGGTAATTCTAGCATTCAATTAGTTCGATATGGAGTACCTCAGGGTTCCGTACTAGGACCACTTATTCTTAATTTATGTCGATGATTTTATACGTTTTATGTCGCCAAAAAAATGTATTCTCTTTGCTGATGATACAACCCTGTTTAATACAAATGACAGTTTAAAATCCCTGATGGACTCTATGTCGATTACTGATGGAGATGGCAAAAAAATGTTTTTTTGCAAATAATATAACCATCAACCCAGAAAAAACTCAGAAATTGTTTTTGTTTAATAAAATGACCAAACATAATAATAATAGTTCATTGCATGTATTGGGAGTGGATTCAGGTTTATCCTGGAATCATCATGTAAATAACCTCTGTGTAAAGTTGTCAAGTATAATATTTTTATTTAGACAGTAAGTTCTATATCTATCTATCTATCTATCTATCTATCTATCTATCTATCTATCTATCCATCCATCCATCCATCCATGTCTATCTATCTATCTATCCATCTATCCATCTATCTATACAAGGTGGTCTCGAGTTAATGGGCCAAAATTCATGGGTAAATTCCCCACGCAAAAATAATGCGATTTAGCCGAACTTACCTTAGTCCAAATGTTGATAGTTGAAGAGATACAGGGTGTTAAATGTAAAATATTCAGTTTTTTTTAATTTATTCCTTAACAAATACAAATATCCTCTTAAAAATTTTGGGGTTTGGAGTTCTTTGGGTAGGAGAATTCAAATCTGTTCACATTTTGGTAAAAGTTCATAGAGGGCGCTAGTTGTAGTGGACTGAATGTGTTGCGCCATTATTCCATGGCTAGAAATTGGCCTCAATGATTTGGGATCGAGGGGGATTATCCCTCTTTATCCTGCCTCATCTCGTGTAGGCCTGGACAGCC